AAAATATATAAAACTGCTTATCTACATACAAAAAGACTCATCCATTTTTCACTGCCCACTTACTTTCATTAGTCGTAGCAGCAGACAAGAAAATCCGAAAGTCAATATCTATGTAAATGTAGGTGCTATAGTAGCACAATTTCCGTCTTTATTTCATATATGTGACATCGCATAGTCGAGGATGATAAACATTGAAGCCGGCATATGAATTACAGGGAGAATTTTTATCACGTCTGCTTTAAATCACCAAAATAATAATGTCAATATAACCGTTCTAAGATTCTATACTGAACCATTTAGTGACTGAACTTCAAAATGTCGAATACTGAGAAAATATTTTGATCAGATATTGTTGACAAACAAATGAACCGGACGTATTTTGAGTGTAGCCAAAACATAACAAGAATTTCATTTATTGATTGTGTCATTATTTATAGCAAAATCTACCACTTATTTATAATCATAACATTTTAAAATATAACCCGGAAATTGGGTGTTTTTATTTCCGATGTTTCCGCTATAAAGTTTTTTCAAGAAAGGTTTGTTTTGTTTGTAATTAAGCACAAAGCTACACAATGGGCTATCTGTGCTCTGCCCACCACAATTATCGAAACCCGGATTCTAGCGTTTTAAGTCCACAGACATACCACTGTGCCACTGGGGGCTTCAAGGAAGTAAAGTAGAACATATAACACACATTTGAAGACAAACAATGTTAATATAACGTACTGATATTATGAATTATGAAGTAGTCTATCTGGTTGTTTGTTGTTTTTATAGTTAAGCATAAAGCTATACAATGGGCTTTCTGTGGTGTGCCCAGCAAGGGTATCGAAACCCGGCTTCTAGTGTTATAAGTCTGCAGATTTACCGCTGTGCCGCTGGGGGTGGGTGAGTAGCACATCACGACAATGTTGATAAATATATTAATTTTGGTTACTTCAAGGAAACTAATTGTAAAAGTGTTTGACATAATGTTATAATTTGGTAAGAATAATTTTAGCGTAATATGTAAAATACACAAAATATTTAATATCGATACGGGTAAATTACGGAACAAAATATCAATATCAAGACAATAATAGTACATTACTCAACCGTGGTTTCAATTAGGTGTGGAACTTGACTTCTTAACTTAATTGAATATATTACTGCCCGTTTAACAATATATATGTTGTTAGTAGAGTTAGAAGAAATGGTGAAAAAGCACATATATACAACACTACTGTGATAAACAGATTTTTGCTTGTTACGAACATGTTCGTGGTGAACTGATACACAAGGTATCATGTGTGTTGGTGTATGTAATGAACCTACATTGTTAAATTGTTTTATACAAAATAACATATTATTGAAACTTTAACAAGTAAACAACAATATATATATATAAAAGTCTTAATAACAACCACAAAAACGCTGCATCTATTAAAAGGGTCACCAGGGCATCTGCCCTAGGTTTTGGATGTGACTGCGGAAGTAGGACCCACATAGTGATGGTGATATCCGTCTATCAGTCTTACCTTCGTTCGCTAATTTCATATGTTAGAGAAAGAAGAGTAAACAAAATAAGTAAGAAAAATAATTTAAACAAAGAAAATATTACTAATTAGTTAGCAGAGCAGGATGTGTTGCTCAATCCCATACCCTTCACTGCCTAATCCTTTTCGATCTTGTTGGGTTGCTTCCAGAATTATTTGTTGGATTCTCCCTGAGTCTCCTTAAACCTCAGCTTATTGACCGCATTTAATGTCGTATCTGAAGTTTTCCAGTTCCTGCTTGTTATTACCTCCAGATGGTGTCCTCTCACCTCAGCATATTTGACTCTGCCATCACTATGTCCAACCTCACCTTAGAAACTTTAAGTTCCATCTTGTTATTTCATCAAAATACAAACGCTGATTTTTGAAATTCAAGTTAGGTAATGTCAACATACCCCTTTTATTAACTATTAAATTGAGTTAAGTAAATATTAAATCTTTTGCTACATTTTAATATATTCTATATTTGCCTATAAAAAAAAACTCACACAAAGAGGCTGCTCAAAATAACAAAGGGTGCAGGTTGGCCCTGTAGTAAACTCTGGATTTCGAAGCCCATGCGATACCATAAAGCTGTGGTACATTATCAGAGTAACAGTCAATCCCTTAGCTTGGATGGTGGATGGTACATTGCCTCTGACTAGGAAGGCGGCAGATAGACTTAAAAGCTTTGCGAGTAATGCAAAATAACAATAAGTTGTTGTTTCTAAACAGATTTGAACTGAAGACATTTTTATCCCAGTTTAGATTTCATTAAACAAAAGTAAATAGTTATTAACTTGTTGAATTATTGAAAAACAGTTGGTTTGAAATTTGTAAGATTTGAACTAGAAATAGAAGGAATCAACACAGAACACGAAACAAAGACAAGATATATCCTCTAACCTACTGAATACAATGTGTAAAACGGACATAAGATAAAGTATGAGTCACATATTTAAATAAGTCCAACAGAATAGCCACAAAACACATTCGAAAATGTAGTATGAGAAGATATTTTGATTGTTTCTTCTTCATCATGGCTGATTGAAATATCCCATAACACTTAATTAGATTTTTGAAAAGGGAACGGCCATTTTGGTTTTAGATTATTTGTTATCATACTACGTCATTGTCAGAAAAACGTGTATTACGGATGCCTGTAGCCACATGTTGAATATGATGGAAAAACAGCGGAGTGCTGAAGAAAACCACACATTTGCAAATATATATACATATGTACTCGCTTCTCACATTGGGCTCACGGGGATGGTGAGACGGCGTGTTTGTGCGTCATTCGCCACGCAGGGCCACTGAACACGGGCGATCAGCAAAAGTATCCGTGGTGTTTATCATTAGCTTCAAGTAGTCAAACTTGAACCTTCCGTATCCATTTAAACTTGATATTTGGTAGTCTACCTACGTTCCTCTACCAAATTCCATCAAAAACTGGTTCAGCAGTTTCTCATAGCACCTTATAACGTAAAGACTAAACATCCAGGTCAAAAGCCACTAGGATTCAAATATAGCCGTCCATAATTTTAACTTCTCATTAGAGGATAGCAGCTTCTTACACCAAATGGGCTCTATTCGTCTTTGATCGGAATAACGGGATTGGCTGTCATTTTGCACAGCTTCTACAGCTGAAAATACGTAAAGTATTCATCGGAATCACAAAAATAATCTTGGATCTTGGATCCACTACCTGACACGCTAATCCTTAGGCCACTCACAAACGATATGATTTTATATTGGAAATTTTTTATAGAAAATATGCACATCATTCTGCAATATGGCGAAATAAACCTACTTAGTTTAACTCACGTGAAATCTATTATGTTAAGTGGAATTTTCTTTATGAAATGTTACTCTGTAATGGAGAAAGTCTATGATGTGTTGTATTTTTAAAGGTTGAGTTATAGTTCTGCAATGTAAAAAATGTGTATATAGTTTGATGTCTGTGTTTTTATTTTGTGTTATGAAAAGGTTTGTGTTGTGTTAGGTACAACTTTGTAACGTAACTATAAAAAAAAATCGTAATATTAGGTATTAAAATATTGTGTGGCAGAAACACTATCCTTTCCATTGCTGAAAAGAGACACTATCCTTTCCGTACCAGGAAATGGTGTGTATTTTGTGTGATTATAGAATTGTTATTCTTAAATATGAAAATACCATAGTATGCTAGATCTTGCTTGATACAGAGGCTAATATATATTGATAGAGAAGTCTATACTCTTTCGTATCATGCTTTGATAGAGATACTAATTATATTATATTGTTTCTGTTAAGCTGTATAATGTTATTCTTAAATATGAAAATACCATAGTATGCTAGATCTTGCTTGATACAGAGGCTAATATATATTGATAGAGAAGTCTATACTCTTTCGTATCATGCTTTGATAGAGATACTAATTATATTATATTGTTTCTGTTAAGCTGTATAATGTTATTCTTACAAAGAAAATGTCAATAAAGAGTTAATATATTAAGATATAGTCTGTTATTTTTCTCAATGTTATCTTATGATATGTCACTAATATCTTCAGATATTACAGTCTTTCCTCCTTTCTCTTCATCTCTTTTCGAGCAGCTTTGGAGTTATCATATACGATTTGATTTATTTGGATGCAGGTTCTTCACGACAAAGCTGTAATAACATCAAAGTACAACTCAAAATTCTGACATACATAAAAAACATTCAATAATCTAAATCCGCTACATATGACTTGAATATAAATCATGTGAAATAAAATATATAGATACAAAAACTACACATTAATGTAAATACACTGAATCTAATAACTTCCTTTTACGTAGAACATATTGAAAGTCAGAGATTTTGTAATGAAGACAGTGACGGATATGTATCATTGATTACTGCATAAAACAATATATCATATTTCGATATATTCTGTGAAATTTTCAAAAATCTGGACGAAATTCATATCAAATAAGAATATCATTAACATATTAATTCTTTCATACATCTTACATACACACCAACTCTAATAAACCAAATAGGTGTTATACTTTAAAATAACCTTATGTAATAGTGATCACTATAATCAGAATACATTAACATACGATTTCTCGATTTCCAGGGAAAACACGTACCTTCCAGTGCCGTACAATATTAGCCTTGTACTGACAAGATGGTCCCCGCCTGAAGTTCGGGTTTTCTGGATATTTGATTCTGGGAACGAGAGTAGTCTTATACACTTTGACGTAACCTATCGTCCACAGAATGCAAGGTAATTCCTTATTATTCTATCGTATATATCGAGCTTTATGTACTTTCATCTTAAATGAGCATTCAATTTTACTCTGAGATATAAAAAGATCAGTTGATGAAACAGCATTTGATCAGATATCATCATGCCGTATTATGCCGTTTGTGAATATATAGTGATTAAAATTGACAACGAATCATGTTATCTGTTTGGTCTTTTGTGGATAGAAGTAGTAATAACATGTGATACACGTTCGCAATAAAGACATCACCTTTTAATTAGTATAACTCCAGTTAGCAGCAAAGAGGTGCAGAGGCAGACGTATAACACACGTGAATGCAACTTTACAGACAAACGAAGTTCGATTATTATTTTTTCACTGGACGCTTTCTCCTTCTCTCTCTCATCTTTTCTTCACTGATTACTGATCTTTCTTTCTTTCTGCCTCTTTATCTACTGCTGTACTCGACTCATCAAAACTATATCGAATTAAAACTGGAAACGAACTTACTTGAAAGATAACTGGAACAAGACTGGACTACTTTAGACGAAAACTGGGATGAGAATGAAAAAAGCACAAAGACAAAAAATGTAAAAACACTGAGAGCAAAGAAATATGCTACGCTAGTGTCGCTCAATGACATACGAGAAAATAGACCTAACAATAAGGCTTGTTGTGGCTAAAGTTATTGGTTTCTATAAAATTGTCGTACACCTAGAGAACCAGTTCAAAGTTGTCAAGAAATACAACTTATTTTAACGTTTTAGGTAATAAATTTTATAAAAGAATAGCTTGTAATATCTAAAGCTATTTAACTAATACCTTCAGATATCACAGACTTATCTTCTTTTTTTCAGCTCTTTTTCGAGCACCTTGAACTTAATATTAATGACTCAATTGATTTTGATGCAGGTGTCCACGATTAACCTGTAAAACTATCATAAGTGCAATTCAAAATTCTTACATACATGAAACACATCCAATAATAAAAATGCGCTACATGTGGCTTGGACATAAATCATGCAGAATGAAATATATATAGATACTACTGTTATACATTAACATAAATATACTTAACATAATAAGATCCTTTTATAAACAGCATAAATGCTGGACAAACATTTTATAACGAAGACAAATGAAATATTTAATCACTACGCACAACCACATCATTTATTGATACATCAAAGCAGAAAAAAAAATGTAATTTGAACGAAACTCATAGCAAATAAGAAAAGAATCAAACGTAAATAAAACAGATTAACCCTTTTACACATCATAATGATACTTGGTCTAATAAATTAGATATAAATCGCACTTCAAATCAACCTCATACAATAGAGATCACTATAATAATAATCCATTGACATAAAGACTGACATTCATTGCAACTTTGTAGAAAGGAGCTCTATGATCCTTGTCAAAACACAAGAAAATATTAGTATAAAACACCGAATATACTATAAGTTAACCAGATTATTTCATTGAAATATAGAACATAGCTTAGAACTTGCAATGAAAACAACTATTTACATTATATACAACAGAACTGCCATTTTTTATCTCGTCTTTATGGTAGAAAATGGTTTTGTAACTGATTATTGCAAAAATTTACTGAAGAATGTCTATAATCCTTACATGGCTTAACAGCTCTTCTTGTGTGGTTTTGAGTTCAGACTTTAAACCTAGGTATTTTTCAATAAGGAGCATGGACTACGCCTTTGTCAATCTTGTTGCTTGGTCCTAGCTGTGGTGTTGCAATCTCGGGGCTTCGTTAGTATAGCAATGGAAGTCTTAAGTTTGGTGTAAGCAATGGTTGTTGTTGATAGTGTTTTCACATTCTACAATCACATTTGGTATTGCAACAGTTAGAATATAATATTGATATTTTCTCACTAATCCAGCCAGCTTTTTTAAGTATCTGGATCTTGTGGTCCAAAGAAGATTTATCCACCTGTCCATCCATTTTCTGTCAGCTCTGTGTGTATCCTTCCATGGGAAGTCAACAATCTCCTACTATACTTTCTTGGGGCTAATCACCCTGAACTTGCACGAGGACAAATCAGCTGATGTAATGGTTTTTCCTGGTTCCTCAGTAATCACTGCTGCTGCTACTAATGCTAATGCTGCCTGAGGAGAAGAGAGGTCCTTGAGAAGAGTCGTACCCTTGCTCATCAGCCGATCAGCTTAGATGTTCTCAGATATCAGATACATATATGGAGTTTACCGAATATCTTACAATTCCAGCCTTACGTTTACATTGAAGATGTTCTCCATTATGGTCGATTAAACTTCTGCTGAAACCGTTCTTCAGGTATATGAAACTGAAGGACGACATGTAAAAATAAATTATTTATACTGACTTTTAAGTCAAGTACAAAGATAAAAGATTATCCCTTTCCCATTTTCACCAAAACATTTGAAAATCATTTCATATGTTATGGACAAAAACTCTTAGTATTCCTGTACAATACATCTATATATATAAAACACTGGTTCATAAAGTTCAAATATTACATCTCTCTAACACCTGTAAAGTCATAGAAACGGTTTAGATTTTCAAAACAAACATTAGTGATATCCGATCAGAACATTTTACATCTACAGAAACAGCCAACTTAGAATAAAGGGGCCAGCTATTAAAAATGTGATATAAAAAGAAACAAGTTATATAAAATTTCAGACTCTTAGAAGATATAATTTCGAAGTAAGTTAATGAAGAAAAAAATTGTGAGTACTTCTCCCTGTTTTTCATTAGAATTGGAACAAGCAGTGACATGAATATAAAAAGTGAACCAAGTTTTCCTGTATTTTCTTGTTTAATTTAACAACATTTAATAACTGACTCGTTTATTCTAGATATTTCGTGTTAGTCTGTTTGTTTAGAAACACTATATCCATAAGTATCAGTGCCAGATATTTTGTGTCCGTCTGTGTGTTTAGAAACACTATATCCAGAAGTATCAGTGGACACAAAATATCTGTCGTCTGTGTGTTTAGAAACACTATATCCATAAGTATCAGTGACAGATATTTTGTGTCCGTCTGTGTGTTTAGAAACACTATATCCATAAGTATCAGTGACAGATATTTTGTGTCCGTCTGTGTGATTAGAAACACTATATCCAGAAGTATCAGTTGACAGATATTTTGCGTCACACTTTATAATTTTCCAAATTTCTGGAAATGTAAGTCGCTACTATTTCATTGATGGGATGTGTCAATTATTTAAGTTAAAACTTTATTTTCATATCATGAGGGGCTGAACGTAGCCTACTTATAACATTTAAGTATGAAACTATAACCAATAATCTCGTGCATTTTAATAAATTGACCTCAAATAGTAATTCAGAATGAGAATGACTAAAACATAGAACAAAGTTGTTAGAGCATTTTTTATTCGCAAAACATCTTCTTTCTGTATTGTAAGATAAGGCCTGGGCATAGCCTTTTGTTTAACGTGTTGAGCTGTGAACCGGAGGATCCGTGGTTCTGGAATTTGGAGGCTTTATGAGCAGTGATGGTCAAAACCCATCATTAGAGTAGCCTAAGAATTAATGGTGGAGAATTTTTACTTGCTTACTTCCCTTTAGCCTATTAACTCCAAATTAGAGATGGCTAGCGCAAATAGCCCTTGTGTAAATTTGTGTGAATATCCAAAACAAAAACAGCCAGATATGATACCATGTGAGATGGCTTCCACTTACTATATATAACGCATAAGTTCACTAGATAGTATAACGAATATATCTATTAAAACGTTTAATATCAACCGTTCAACGGGAAAAGTTACGATATTTCTTTGGTGTTGCTCTTATCCATCAGTCTACCATTAGGTCAACGAGTATAATTGATATTTGGAACAAAATAAAAATGATAAAAGCCGGTCTATACAAATTTTAAACAAAATTCAAGAAATAAATAGGTAGAATATACATATAAAAATCTTTTCAAAACATGTAGGATAAAAACTGTTTTCTAACTTGAGCATAAGATAAACCCTCACATTTTGTAACAATGGAACGTATTCTCAATGTTAAGCAAGCACTTTAATTTTCCTCAGACCTTGATTCGAAATCATCCATGAAAAAGTAATGTGTGTTTCCTTGATAATTTCAAATTAGAATAAATTATCAAACTTAATGGAGGTAGCATCTGTAGTGATAGCGAATTTCATTCGTTGACTTATTTCTTCTAAAATCTATATAATGTTTGTTTCCTTAAATAATTGTTTTCATAATCCAGGCCTGACATGGCCTGGTGATAAAGGCACTTAACTCGCTTTATGCAGGTTCCAGGATCGAAACATGTTACCGAACATGCAAACCCCTTCAGTCGTAGTTATAATGTGACGGTTAACTCCACTATTCTTCAATAAAGAATAGCTCAAGTGTTGGTAGTGGGTGGTGTTGACTAGTTGCGTTCTCGATAGGGGCGGCTAGAGTAGACAGCCCTCGAGCAGCTTTGCACGAAACTTCACAATAAATCATAATTCAGACCAGAAGCATCATGTTTTAGTGCTTAAACAAAGAAATTAAAACAATATTAAGTGCTTTATTCTAATATTTATCTTATTATTCCTTATTTCATTCGCAGTTTCCTTTTACACAATTTAAGCCGTAACTAAGTGCCAATTTATTTTTACACAAAATAACTAAATTCCTCCTACTTCGTAGTGGTATAAAGGAACCAGTATATATGTATGCGTGTAATACATAGAATTCAGGCTAAAGATTCAGCTCTAGTTTATTCTTAAAAGCTAGAACTTGCTTTGAGAATAATAAATTACAGCTTACTCAAATTAATTATTAATGTATATTTAAACAAATCTCCCTTAATGTTTATATGGTTACGTTTTTAACAGATGCTTTTGAAAACATTCACGCAAACATAATGTTAACTGTGCAGCGGTTATCGTAATATAGTATTTCTGATAGTGTTGACAGGCCTGGCATGGCCTAGTGGTTAGGGTGCTCGACTCATAATCTTTGGGTCGTGGGCTCGAAGTCCCGTCACCGAACGTACTCACCCTTTCAGCTGTCGAGACGTAATAACATGACGGTGAATCCCATTATTTGTTGGTAAAGAGTAGCCCAAGAGTTGGTGGTGAGTGGTGTTGACAAGTTTCCTTCCCTCTAGTCTCTCACTTCGAAATTATAAACGGCTAGCGCAGGTATCCCTCGAGTAGCTTGGGGCGAAATTCAAACACACAAACAAACATGGTGCTGACAGCAGACAGTACTATACAGTTTCTTCTTGAGGCGCTACGTCTATTTCTAATAATTAGAAACGTGATAAACAGTGTGTATAGTTTTCTAAATGATGGACAAGTTCAAACACTCTTTAAACTGAGCATATTGATAATCTAAAATGGTACTTGTTTCGGGACTATGCATCATATAACTCGTTGTCCACTTAGACTTTGGGCTCTAGTATTGAGTGAAAGACCTCGTCACATGCTTCAGTGGTGTTATACCATATTCTTACTGAAAAACCATCTAAGATTTATGCATTAAATATTATCATTTTTAATGTAATGTTTCATCATTGTTTTATTTCGTTGTTTGTTTAATCGCAAAATGAATTATCTTTGCCGTATATATCGCAGGAACTCAACCCAAAATTTTAGATTTATAAGTCCTCAATCGTAATACCCTGCCAGCGAGTGGGGCCGTACTAATTACACTCTAACACTGTAAAAATGTCCGAGAAATTTTACATTATTTTACGGAAAAAAATTAGGTTAATGGTTTACTTTTTTAGGTATCGAATAGTGCAAGAAGTTTCACCTAAAGAATGCTCTGTTGTTCTGAACCACCTTCTGCCAGGCACTCCGTATCATCTCCACCTCACGCCCATTTCTAAAACAGGCTCTGGAAATCACAGTGAAGTGATACAGTTTATATCTCCGAAAGTTCGTAAGTTTTTCTTGATTTTGTTTCTTTACCGACAAACTCTGAAGAGGAATCTTTTTCGCATTTTTTAGCAAATTTTGCAATCTAAACGTATTTAAAAAATAAGTGACCGTTGGATCTGCAAGTGTATTTGAGTTGTAAAAATTATTCCCTGAGTTTTATCACAAAATATCATTAAATATGCAAAAGGTGGTGTGTTTTAAACTCTTAACATTAATGTGTATTTTGTTGCATTTAATGTACATGGAAATTTCTTTACATTTCATTTTCTTCTACCCTGCTTCGAGTTTCACAAAAATTGATGTATTTTTACCACCCATGTACAGAATTATTCAATATGAACTATCTACCGAATTTAAAACATTCAAATGTTTGTTCCGGAGATTTGTTTAGTATTCTGCACTTGAAATCGATAAGGTATCATTAAAAGTCTTGAAGATAATCTATAGTTAGTGTCTGATGTTTAGATTCCACGAGGTTTCTGCTATACTGAATTTTTTCTTTCAGTCTATATTATATTACGTTTTGACTACTAAACCAGTACGATAACGGTTACGCTATGTTTTGGTTTGAGCTCCTAACATGTATATTGAACTTCAGTTCGTATAATGTATTTCTTATAGATACGCCTGAAAATTGAATCACTTTGATTGCAACTTGGTCTTTCACGCTACATTTAGAAACATGACTGGAGACTTTATCCTGATATTATTTCCCGTTTTGGCCAGAACAAATTAAAAAACTTCAGTAAATCTTCTGTTAACTGTGGAAGCTGACTTTGATACTTGAAGTAACTCTCCTTATCTAAAGGTTATTATTGTGCCCTTCCATCACTATATCCGTGTTTCGTTGTTTTATCCCTTATGTTCAGCCAGTTGTTTTCATCCACACCTTGGTGTAAAATAATGGTTAATCTATACTCTCTGCTTAGCTGTTGAAGTTGTGTTAATTATATTTCTGTCTCCAAGACATATTAGATTTGATTTTTTGTTATTCGTATAACATATAAAATTCATACGTTATTATATATATTTTGATGTATGTGTAACTTAGTTTTTACCTTCAAGTTTGCCTAATATTGTATGTACTTTGTTTTTTTAAGTTAGCTTATTTGCTATTTTTATGTTCAATACACCGTCTCGAGGGTGTTGTAATATTGTATACGCTATATTTTAAGTTCTTAAGACATGATTTAAATTGTAGTATTTTGTATATATTGTGATTTTAAAGTTTCTAGAACAACGTTTACTAATGATGTGACGAATTCACATAACAATATATTTGTTGTTAGGATTAGACAAAAAACAAGAAGACGTTCCTCTATAAATGTTAATGAACTTTTGATACGGTATATCCACACGATAATTCTTGTTAGTAGGATAAGACAAATATAACATGTTTCTGTACTAACAACAGTCACATTCACCAAAATCTTCTTTCTATAAGATAAGACATAAAAACAAGGTATTTCTGTACTAATAATGGTGTCATATTCACACGACTGTTGTTATTACCAAGTTAAAACATGAAAACAATAATATTTTCCTATACTAACAGTAATCCCCTTCGCACAACAGTTCTTGTTACTAGGAAAACACATAAAAAGACCAAGGTATTCCAGTACCTACTATAGTTACATTCAAACAATTACTTATTAGTAAAGGGTAAGACATAAAAACAACCAGATGTTCCTCTATTAATGATACAACACATTAACACACCAGTTCTTGTTACTAGGATAATACCTAAAAACAAAAATACGTTCCTATACTATTAATATGATATATTCACACAGCAATTTTTGTTACTAAAATAAGATATAAAAATAATAAGGTGATTTAGTACTAACAATAATCACTTTCACACAACAGGTCTTATGATAAGGATAAGGCATAAAAACAACAATATATTCCTATTCTAATAATATAACACATTCACAAAGCAGTCCTTATTACTAGAATAACACATGATTTTATTAAGATGTTCCTCTACTAACAATATACATATTTACATTTACACAATAGTTCTTGTTATTAGAACAACAACACATAGAACAGCAATATGCTCATATACTAATAACAGTTACAATCACACAGCAGTTCTTTGTAGTAGGATAAGGACATAAAAACAACAAGAAATTTCGATAGGAACAATGACCATATTAACACAACATTTGTTACCAGAATAAAACAAAAACAATAAGATGTCCTATACTAATGATATTGCACATTTATCCAACAATTCTTGTTACCAGGGTTAAACTTACAAACAACAAGATGTTTTTGTACTAATAACAGTCACATTTACATAACAGTTCCTGCTGCTAGGATAACACATAAAAACAACAATATTTTCTTTCAGTAACAAAATTGACATTCAAACCACAGTTCTTCTTACTAGGAAAACGACAAAAACGACAATATTTTCTTGTATTAATAATATGGCACCTTCATACAACAATTTTTGTTACCAGGATAATACATAAAAACAACAATATTTTCTTTCAGTAACAAAATTGACATTCAAACCACAGTTCTTCTTACTAGAAAACGACAATATTTTCTTGTATTAATAATATGGCACCTTCATACAACAATTGTTGTTACCAGTATAATACATAAAAGCAACAATATTTTCTTTCAGTAACAAAACTGACATTCAAACCACAGTTCTTCTTACTAGAAAAACGACAATATTTTCTTGTATTAATAATATGGCACCTTCATACAACAATTGTTGTTACCAGGATAATACATAAAAAATAAAATAAAATTCCGAACTAATAGTATTCACATTCACATTAGTGTTGTTGTTTCTAAGATAAGACATAAAAACAAGATGATTCTGTCTATAATTTGTCACATTTACGCAAAGTTCTTGTTACCAATATAAAAACAATAAAACTTCTTCCACGTACAATATTATACATTCACACAACAGTTCCTGCTAGTACATAAAAAAATAAGATTATCCTATTCTTACAATAGACGTATTCACACAAGTTCTCCTTACTAAGGTACCCCCCCCAAAAAAAACAACAACAAGATTTTGCTATATTTTCAATAGTGACAATCACACAAGTTATTTTTACTGAAAAAACCCTCAAAGTTGATGTTGTTACGTTTAGAATTTCAAACGGTCTGAAACCGAGCTAAATTATACTTTAAATTTAGTAGTTAAATTGTACTTTGAATTTAGTGTTTAAATATATGCCGATATTTTAGTCAATTTACGATATTTGCCAACAAGATTGATACACACCGTTTTCGTTTTTAACACAAATACGTTTTAATATACCCACAACAGCACAATTTACAATAACAATTATTACTAATAGTTATTACAAACAATGATTCATAAACAAACGTTTCACAAACTTACAAATAATATAAAGTCTTCTTTCTAATTTGGAACTTCCTTGATATCTTATCGATGGTTTACGATGAGCGAATTAATTACGGGTTGATGTAGATGCGATTCGCTGGGAAGCTAGCTAGCTTTGTCCTTGGCCACACACGCTAGGTTTTCAGGATGAATTTATATAATGTTTTCGTAAGAATACTAATGTC